CCCCAAAACCCCAAAACCCCATATGCTTATCTGATAATCTACAAAGGAAAATAATTTATAAATTTCAAAATCTAAGATAATCATCTTAATACAACATTTGCTTTTCTAATGGCTAGATGATCATTCTTAGCCCCTTCAGGTAAACCTCTTACCACTTGATAAAAATCAATGTTATAGTATCTTAGCGATGTCTTTGGATCCTAGTAGTTTGTATGAAAACCAGTAAAATCGCAGTACTTATTAGGTTTTTTTACACTTATTCCACCATCGATTGATTGATAAGACCCTAGTTATTCTCCAAATTGATCTATTCCGCAAATTTGCTTTAAATTCTTTGTATGTTTGGCTGTAAATCTTTTTTACTTCTCTTTCTTTTCCAGCCATTCAGGGCTTTTAAAAATGAATTCGGATTTCTCTTCTAGTAGCTAGTCTATGATAGCCCCCTTCTTTACCATAAAGTTAGCAAAACTTGATTAGTTTTCATATTATCTTTTATGTTACTTCTCCACTACTCCTGTACTTGCATGTTGCTTAATGTTAAAATCATCATCGCCTATAATTCCAAAAACCTCTACATTATCTATGATGTCTTAGCCATCTGGACCTCCACGCCTCTTCCCTAGTAAATTTGTTTATATAGGCTAGCCTCGTCCAGCAGGTACACCTGCAAAGCCAGATCCTCTTCTACCTCTTCTTCCTGGTGGCATTTTATTAATTTTACAAAAATTAATTATATAATAATTTTATACTTTTAATTACTTAATTCACATTCTGAAAATAATTCAAGCCATCACTTTCATAACTCTTCTGTATTTTTACTTCTTACCTCTATATCAAATAATCCATTCACATATTTTTAAAGATAGTTAATCATCTTTGTGATTTCAATATCATGATAAATAACTTAATCAAATAGCATTTTCAGACTTAAATCCAATTTTCTAATGGCAAATAATTTGTTCAGCAATTATAAAGCTGTTTAAGGTAGTTGCTAATCATTGCGGAGTATTAGCTAAAAGGTTAAGATATGAAATTATGTTGTATACATGTAAATCAGAGAGAGGATCTTTCAATTGCTAAAGACACGCCCTGATATCTGTATCAAGTTTTTAGGGGTTTTTACTGTTGAAAAACATAGTTTCAAGTAATAAAGGATTCAAAACATTTGGAGCAATTTAAGCATATTGTGAATATTCCTTTGCTCTCTAAGAAATATTTTGCCAAGTAAGCATATTTGATTCATCCTTGAAATCGATAGGGTAAACTTTATCAAGTCTTTATTTCTCGCTTATTGTCAGTTTGGAATCAATCATTAGCATTAGCTTCTTATGAAATACATCTTCATTTAAAAGTTACTTCATCATTTTCAATCCGACTAGACTTTACTATAATAACTCTACAAAAATTATTAAGCTTAAACCAAATTACGAATTTCAGTTGCAAACTGAGATTAAGGGTTTATAATATAGACAAATAAATAGTTTCCAGGAAACATGTCTTTATAATAGCCTAAAAAGATGCTATTTTTAATCTTATTGACTAGTTGATTCCTTCTAATGTTTCTCTTCATATCATAATTTTGAATTACATGCACATTTCTATCTTTATTAATATATTCAATTTCACTCGCAATCTATTTCCTTAAATTGCCCTGAGTTTTGTTCCCAGAAAAAGCGAGATCTATCACTTAATCTACATTTTTAGGCTTTTCAAGTAGTTTTATTTAGAAACTTGGCATTGCCACTGAAACTTTAGCAGGAAGCTTTTTGTAAATATATAAACTGGGGTAGAATATTTTTGTTAGCTAATTCTAAGACATTAATTTATTATTATGAAATTAAGATTAAATTCTAAGCTTATTATATAATAAATATATCACTATAACATCTATCACTATTAATTTCTATCATTTTAAATCACTTTAATGTCAGCTTGCTATCAGTCAAAGGTGTCTATGAATCTTGTGAATAAAATTAGTTCTTAAATGATGTCTGAGCACTTACACTCCTAGATAGCTTTCCACTCTTTCATTTGTAGCTAAAGAGCTCATGTTTAAAGTGGTATTATCAAGATTTTTCTTCAGAATCTCTATTTTATTCTTTATATCATTTTACAAATTCATAGTGGACTGAGAAATTCTAAATACTTCATCCGCAGCAGTATTAGTAATGCTATAAAATTTTTAAATTTAAGTAATTACATATTATCATCATCAGTAAGCCTTTTGTAAGAAAAGGTTCCTGGGTTCATGTACTTGTTGTTTTATATAAACACCTCATTTCTTGTTTTTCGGCTATACTTATCTAAGTCATTTTGTTTTTTCATTGTAGACTCATTAAGTTATGAGAGGTAATGAGAGAATTAAGAGTCCATATTATTTCTTTTGAACAAGGCATCTGCGTTTTTCTTGTTTATTTCATTTTTCTTGTACAAATGATTATAGAAGGTTTTAGATTCATTTTTCATTTGCTCAACAGGGTTAGTAGCGAATGAAAATTTCAAATTCAATGAGAAAGGTGTCTCATGAACATCTTAGCTAGAATTTTAGTTACTGATAAGTTATTTGTGAGGTGATAGTTTAATATTTGGTATTTTTTGCTTTACTTTTCGAGCACTATTTTCCAGTTAACTCTCAATACTGGCTCTAAAAGGATTAATCACTTGATCTCCAATACTTCTTGGTGATTCACTCTGATATTAATCTCCTTAAAGTGAATGAAAGTTAACTTTGTTTGTATTTTTTAGTTCTCCTACACTTTATGTTTTAGGCAGGCCACTATTGGATTTTCTTCTTTCCTTCTTAGTTCTTGTATCATTTCTGCTATTAAAGGACTGAAATCTTTTAGAAGGTCCAATCGATGATCCTCCATCTTATGGAACTGGCCTTATTGAATGATTCTTTTTGGTAAAGTCTTTTACTGGAATCAAGCTAGGCTTAAAATGAAAATTTACTTGCTCATCAAGATGCTTATTTAGTTCTCTTAGATAATTTTTGTCTTCCTCTAATATTTTCTTAGCATGATTCTCAACCTTGAAGTTTTTAGCATTTTTTATTGTTTCTTCTTTCTTTTTAAGCTCCTTATTCTTTTCCTCTTCGCTCTGTTTGTTAACTTTTTGTTAAAGAATATTTCTCAAGAAGCCTACTGATTTTTTCTTCTAAACATCATCTTTTAAAGGATGCTCTTCATAGTCTTTTTCTACAAGAATTTTATACATTTTTACTTTATCAGGAGGAATTTCAGCTCCTACCTCCTTTAGACTCAATAAATAGTCTTTTTAAATATCTTTATAGCGTTCCATCTCAGCATTGGTCATTTCATATTGAAAATCATTGTCTTTAAACAGCATTCGCTCATCGTTAGGATCATATTTCTTGTAGATCTAATCTCCATCCTTCATCCTCTTTGCCAAAAATTTTTGGATAAAGGATTGTTAAATAGCTGATTTCATTGTTTAGATAGCTTCGCCTCTCTTGTCTTAATTGAAGGTTTTCACCGATGAAAATCTTTTCTTAACAAACTTTTTAAAGTTATAACAAGCCGATTTGGTTTCATCTATTGATTGAATTAGCTCTGGGACAAGACTCGGGTATTAAAGTGGACTCATCTTAGTTTTGATTTGAGAAGGATCAACAGTAGATAAAAGTGTAGGATGCTATTGAAAAGATGTGTCTAATTTGGTAGCTGAAATCGAGTACTTCGCATTCGGATTCTTATAGAGTGTTGATTTTTAATTAAGTATATCTTGTATACTGTCAGACTTGTAGTTGAGGACTGGTTTTTATTAATGTTTCTTAAATTCCTTGTATGATTAAAATTTGATAAGATTATTTTGCTAACCGAAAAATCCTACTGATGCGAATAATTATTTCGACTACAACTCTAGTTTCTATTTGGAATCCAAACTTTACCCTTCCATAATATCAATTATCTGATTTTAGATATTGGGGTTTTGGGGTTTTGGGG